TGTGTGTGTGAGTGAGTGTGTTAGTGTGTGTGTGTGTGTGTATACAAAGGGAAGGAGGCGGAGGAGGAAAGAGAGAATAAATACAAGAAAGGCAAAAAGAGACCAAACGGGGAGAGGGCGGAGTTTAAATAACTATAAGCCTCCATCAAGATATATAAGAAACGAAGTAGAGAACATCTATAAGATCATGCCGGATATGAACATAGATATTTTGTTTCTGAAAGCGTGGCAAGTGTTTTGAAACGGATTCGGGCGGTTGGGATGGGGGATGAGGGAGGGATGGGGTACTATGGAGAAGAAAATGTAAATATAAATGCTGCAATGTAAAAAAAAAGTGGAGTGCTCCGGAGAAAACAACCTATTTTGAGTGACAAATAAACAAACAATCTTGAAAAAGATACCAAAAACACCAAGAGAAACTATGACATAGAATCAGGAAGCAAATCGAAAGCACGACGAATATACCAACAAAGACCGAGAGAAAAAATGATAAAAAGAAGAAAAAAGAAAATCCTAACTGGTCAGACAGTGCATGTATTGCTTGTACAATGCAGTAAATGTTCTTCAAGTACGAAGTTGAAATAACGTCGAACGCCAAAGTATGAAGCTGGCTACAGAAAGAATAAAGGATTGAAAGAAACACTGATAACAGCTCGCTAAACTGCTAGTGAACTGAAGTCGTAATGACGTAAAAATTATGAAAAAGTACAGAGGCGGGCACAGCATCAATATATACGTTGTAGCTCACAGCCACTCGGTACATGGAAAGTCATATTTCTCCTAGAATAAACAACCGGCCCTGCAACACTGAAATCAAGCAAGCGATGCCAAAACTATCAGCAGCAGTAAGATAAAAATATGCCGGGGGTGGGGGGTGGGGCACTAAAGAGTCGTGACAATAATAATTCCAAGTAAGTGAAACGAGCGAAATGACTGCCAACTCAAAACCATTCTCACGACGCTCGATGAGTACATCAGCAAACCGAACAGAAGCCAAGGTAGCACGAGCTGGTAACAAATGTAGATGGAGAGATGATCTCGTGCAGATGAAGACAATGCTTGATCACACAGCGACCGTGACCGCTTCATAAGCTAACGTATTGTCACGTTCGAGTAAAATGAGAAATACGAAATTAAATATTCTATTTGAAATAAACGTAGACTCGAGAAAATGTGAAGGGAAACTGAAAGAAACTACACAACGTACGTATGGCTAAGCTTTAGATTAGTCATTATCATGGAAAGTACACTCAACTGTGGAACATCGGACAGTAAATTGCTTTTCTGCAATGAAACCTGCAGCAAAACTCAAAGCTATCACATCAATACATTATGTTAAAAATACATAAAACCCAGAGAAATCAAAACAAACGTTATGCCTAAGATAGTGACTAAAGAAATCAGTAAACTTTTTTCAGAACCTCTTTCAGCACTTGTGACACAAAAAGAAGCAAATTTCTTCAGACTAGACATTACAAAATTTACATCAAAATGTGAACAGAACACCTATAGAAAACTGGTGAGTTTGAACAAAAAGAAATGCTCCAGCAAGGGTATCTTCTGAAAACCCAAAGGCACATCAACAGCATCCACGGTATCACCATCCAACAACAACAACAACAACAACAACAACAACAACAACAACAACGACAACAACAACAACAAAACGGCAAGAAAACCCATCCAAGTGAGGCGGAGGATGGGTTGTGTGGGCGGGTAGAGCCGGGTGGACGCACCTCCTCCTGTCTGCTGGCCGACACCCAGGGGAAACACATGCCGGTCAGAGAGTGCATCAAACACTGCAGAGAGGGACACGACACACTACAGTACTCTCTCTCTCTCTCTCTCTCACACACACACACACACGCACAAACACACACATGAACACACACATACACCCACATAAATACACTCCCACACATATAAACACACACACACGCACACGCACACACACGCACACGCACACGCACACGCACACGCACACACACACGCACACACACACACACACACACACACACACACACACACACACACATGTACAAATTAGTTCACAAAGGAGAGGTTGGCAGCTTCACATTTCATACCACTGACAAATGTTCTTTACTTCAGAAAATCAATTATCATGAATATCTATCTTCTAGCGAGATAGAAGTGACAACATACACTTTCATAGAGTTCCGGGAAAACAAAGCAAATCAATGCAGATTCTCCATCGATCATGAAAGAAACAATGTCTAGAAAGACAATTAACAGAGACGTCTCAAAACAGGAAAACAACGTCCCATATCGCCTCCATAAACGTGTCCCATCATCTCTGCTCTTGACATCAAAACATAGCTGCAACAGTAAGAAACCATTGCAAGTG